CATCTCAGTCTCTCAAGTAATACACATTACCATCCAAAGCAAGGGAGCATAAACTTGGGCCCAGGGGCCAAATGCCGTCCTCCAGGCCTCTCTATCTGGCCCTTGGAATTCTCATGAGGCCACACCCCTTCTCCTCAGGCACACCCCTCATTGGCCCTGCTTTGCACCCTCCTTGAGTGATTTTGCCTGGCTGGAATGTGTCCTTGAACTCTGATGGTGCCTCTTGCTTGCCAGGATGGAGGACAGCGAGGGGTGTGTTAGTTTATGGAGCCTACTGTACAAAGGTAAAACCTACATTTGTTGTTCTGCCTGTTATTGCCTTTCACCCTGCCCACTACTACCATGTGGATCCTGGGACACTGCCCAGAAGGGAGTGCAGCTCTTGGTCTGGAAAAAAAAAATCCCATTCCTGGCCTAATACGCTAACTGCCCAAGAGGAGCTTTTACAGTATGAACAGACATTTGGGCACTGGCTGTGTTCTCCAGGCAGAGGGGGAAGAAGAAGCAGGGAAGATGGACGAGGTTATTCTTAAGGCTGCGTTGCCGCTGCCCGGACTCCAGCCGAGGTCCATCTGCTGCCTCATTAGGACGTAATGACCTCTCAACTTCTGAGAGAGGAATTGGTAAACAGGACCAGCGAGGCTGTCCTTCTCTGCGGCAGCTGGGAGCCAGCCAACGTCGCCACGGCAACCAAGAGGAGTTGGGTCAGCTCAAGTTACTTTGCGCTCCATGTGCGGAATAGCTCACATTTTTCAAGGTCTAAGCAGCTCCCAGAAATAGGGAGTCGGGGCGGTGGGTGCAAGGTTGGGTTTCATTTGGCTGGAGACGGCACAGGCGCAGGGGAAAGAGGCCATTTGATTCACCTGGCGTTGTGCCCAACTAAATTCTACTTGGAGTAGACCCATTGAAATGAATGAACATGGTCATTCGCCAATAAATCTATCAACAGATACAGACATAACTTCTGGCCATCACTACATCTGAGCCATCCAGGCAAGGAAAACTAATACTGTTCCTCTGTATGTGTATTTCTTGTGTGCTAGGAGCTGTCCTATTTTCCTGTTCTGGATGTTGTCACCAGTTCTGCTCTTGGAATGGGTGCATGTTAAAAGTGGTTCAGGAGGAAGGTTGCTCTTTATATCAATGGCAAGATAGCCAGGACTGCCATCAACTGTAACTTGTAAAAACTTGTCTTTGAGCTTGCTTTTTTCCTTCTGCTTCTTCTTCCTTTTTCCTCACACGCCATGTCTTTTGAACCTGAGGTCAGGGACTGTCTCAGAACTGATTTTTATAAGCCACACTGAGAGCCTTTCTTTGGCCAGAGGCTTGAGTACCAATGCTGCAAATAAATAGATAAGGAACAGAGAGAAGGAAGGATGGCCAGAGCGATGAGAAAATATACACTTATGTACATGGATAAAAGAACTTACCCCTTCGGAAGCGCAGGCGAACTTCTCCGAGATCATAAAAGGCACTCCTTCCATCGCTACAAGCACAAAGAAAGCAGCATTAGCCATCACTCAATGCTGATGTGATTCACAGCACTATTTTTCAGCCAGGTCCCCAAAATCTACGTCTCTCACTCTGTACTCATGTGCCAGTCTGTTCCATCTCCCTGACATTCCCCTGTTAATTTCCACATTACATTTCAGCTTTCACACGATGTAAAAGCCAGGCCCAGAAAACTAACGAGAGTATACTGTGTTATTTGATTCCAGAAAACAAATCTGTTTGCAGCCCCCTTAACCTGCAAAATTGGGGGAGCACAATGAAAAAATTGTGTGTGGAGGGGATATACTAGCATTCAGCTATTTCCTGCTATTTTCATGGTGGGATCATGGGGTAACAGAACCATGTATGCATGGAAAGGGGTGGGGAAGTAGTGACATTGTTCAATTACACACTTTGTGTCACACCACACCCACTGGTGGGAGTGAAATTTAGTGTGGAATGCTGATATACGGCCTAGAATCCTCGTACCTACGGGACTGCCTCTCCTGGTATGTCCCACAGAGGACCTTACGGTCTTCAAACAAAAACATCTTGGAGGTCCTGGGCCACAGGGAGGTTAGGCTGGCCTCAACCAGAGCCAGGGCTTTTTCAGCTGTGGCCCCTATCTGGTGGAATGCTCTGTCACAAGAGACTAGGGCCCTGCGGGACGTGACATCTTTGCGCACGGCCTGCAAGACAGAGCTGTTCCACCAGGCCTTTGGCCAAGGCACAGTCTGTCCCCCTCCTTTGGTAATCCTCACAGACCTCTAGCCCAATGGTTGCCATGAATTTGATTTTGAATTGATTTTAAAATGAATTGATTTTAGAATGCTGTGTTACTTTAATTGTTGTTAGCTGCTCTGAGCCCTGCTTTGGCAGGGGAGGGCGGGATATAAATAAAATAATAATAATAATAATAATTATTATTATTATTATTATTATTATTATTATTTTAGTCAAAAAGCCGCAGTTCTGTAGAACAGCAGGTGCTGTAGGGTGAAAGAAACATTAAAAAACAGGACAGAAGCACTTGCATCACAATCAGAAAAACTAATGCCTTGAGATCTAGGGGTATAGGGCGGTATACAATTTTAATAAATCACCACCACCACCCCCATGTCAGAATGCAGCCCCTACTCACAGCACAACCATTACACTCAAGCTGGTCTTGTCTACATAAGTTTTTGACATGCCCTCCAAATGATGACACTTTGGGATTTGGGAAAACATCTCTCCCTCCCCATCTCTCAGCCTCATTTTGCCTGGGCTTGGATTAGAGATGAGGGAGAAATTCAATTCAGTTTGCATTTAAGTTCAGTTTGCCTGCCTAATTTGCGCTGTCTCAAGCCATGCATCAAGGGAAGCACAGCTATCCTTCGAAATTCACACTTCCCCCGCCAATGAATGCACACAATCAGGAAAAGGGTGCATAAAAACTGATAGATTGGTGAAAATCACATAGAAAAATGCAGTGCTTTAGATAAAACAGTTTTGCAAGATTGTGTGAAAAAAGCATACACATGAGAAATTCATGTTAAAATGCTGATGAACTTTCATGAGAGTTTTTTTAAAAAATCTGATTTATTTTATGTATGTGGAATGCATAGCAGAGTACATATGGGTTTCTGCTCCATTTCCCATCCTTGTACTGAACACATTAACTTCGGAAGGTGGCTGTTTCATGCGCCTTCCGATTAAACCCCAGGACTTATTTCAACCCACTTCTACGACTCATAAGGAACAGCAAGGAGCTATAAACAGCAGAAGCTACTGGATCTGTGTGCTGCTCCCTCATGTGGTGAACTACTGAATGGCAGCTTCTCAGTGGAGGTACATTTCATCAGCTGGATTGCAGCCACCCACCTGAGCTGGTCACTGGATCCTACTAAGCAGGAAGGGAGTACATAGGACTTCCCGTTCAAGCAGGGACTTGCTTGAGCAAGAGGCCTTCTGAATTCTGGTGTGTTCCTGTCATTCTTAAGTTCTGGTTTCTCACTGTCACTGCCTTGCACCTGCCATGCCTCTCTCTTATTTTTGCTTTGTTGATAGACTATACTGAATTGTTCATTAAATTTTCAGGCAGAAATCATAATATGAGCTCAAGTGCTTCTTCAGACTGGAGCTAGGACATAGAGAACAACTATCAGTCAGTGTGTAGACAATACTGAGCATAGAACAATGGCCTGGCACAACAGAAGGCTGCTTCCTATGTTTGTTTATTTAATTGCATTAACAGCCCACCTTGACGCGGGTGGCGCTGTGGGTTAAACCACAGAGCCTAGGGCTTGCCGATCAGAAGGTCGGCAGTTTGAATCCCCGTGGCGGGGTGAGCTCCCGTTGCTCAGTCCCTGCTCCCGCCAGCCTAGCAGTTCAAAAGCACGTCAAAGTGCAAGTAGATAAATAGGTACCGCTCTGGCGGGAAGGTAAACGGCGTTTCCATGCGCTGCTCTGGTTCTCCAGAAGCGGCTTAGTCATGCTGGCCACATGACCTGGAAGCTGTACGCTGGCTCCCTCGGCCAATAAAGCAAGATGAGCGCCGCAATCCCAGAGTCGGTCATGACTGGACCTAATGGTCAGGGGTCCCCTTTACCTTTACAGCCCACCTTACTCTCCTAAGAGCTCAGGGTGGTGCATGAGTTCCCCCCCACCCCATATTTAATGCCCACAACAACCATGTGAGGTAGGTTAGGATGAGTGGCAGAGATTAGGTTACCCAGTGAGCTTCATGGAGGAATGAGGATTTGAACTCTTGTCTCCCACATCCTAGTCCAACCCTTGCTCCCCAAACATCCTCTTTAAATTGAGAAGCTTTGGAGAAGACAGGAAGCACCCAAATATTTATAAAAATCTAGATTCAGGTTCAGAGCCCATCTGCTATGGGGCTCAAGGGGAGATTTTGCACAGGATTGTTGTGAGGATTAACTGGAGAGTGTCTTCAGCTCCTTCAAGGAAGGAGAAAGGCTTTGAAAGACACCACGTGTGGAGAAACCCACAGCAGATGAAAAGTGGGGGAAATATATGCCAAAACGACTCAGCGCTACAATGTGGATTTGCCCAAGCAGATGAGCTTCCACAGAGCTGTAATTAAGGAAACCTGTAATTAAGCAGATGCCCTTTATCGGAACGATTGTGCTTTTTTAAAAAAATAAGATTGTCAAGACGCACAATGAGATCTGTTATTAATGCTGCTGTGTCAAAGAGAAGTGAGCACGGAGTCGCAAGAATCAGTCTTGTCAAGGTCTGTCATCAAGAGATTATTTGTGAAGTCTATGTTTTGGAAAGTATCAAGGTGGGTGGACGGGAAAAAGAGAGACCGGAGAGATGGACATGTTCAATGGCTGCTCCTTAGGGAGAGAGTACTGGCAAACTATTGCCATGACCCATTTACCACAGTCAGTGTGGGAAGCTCACTTTCCAATAATCAGCAATATCTTCTGCTGCTTGCCCCCTATTTCTTGCTAGGGATCTCAAACTAGAGACTCCAGATTCAAATGTACTTTCTGAGAAGGGCTGTAGCTCCATGGTAGAGCATCTGTGTGACACACAGAAGGTCTCAGGTTCAATTTCTAGTATCTCCTGTTATGGATGGACTTTGTCTGAAATCCTGGAGAGCGACAGCCAGTCAGTGTAAACCAGGCATGGCCAAACTTGGCCTTCCAGCTGTTTTGGGACTACAACTCCCATCATCCCTAGCTAACAGGAGCAGTGGTGAGGGATGATAGGAACTATAGTCCCAAAACAGCTGGAGGGCCAAGTTTGGCCATGCCTGGTGTAAACAATACTGAGCTAGATATATCAATGGTTTGACTCAGAGAAGCCAATGTTGAAATGTTCTCATGTTCTTCCTTCCTTGTCAGCCGATGCTGGAGGAAGAAGCTGCTAACTTGCTCTCTGGTGCCCCCTGTTGCTGAAGGTCAAAAGGTGGCATTACATTTATCTGTACAATAGGGGACAGATGAGATGAGGGGCCAGCAGGGTTCAAACTGGCCCTATGAAGCTGCTGGACTTGGCCTTACTCTTGGTTCTGATTTGTTCTTGCTTCCTGATTTGCCATTCAGCCTTGACTTGCTCTTAGGCTCCTGGCTTACCATGGACCAACTTTGACATGTTAAAAACCTGTGACATCATAATGTATTAGCTAAGGTCTTATTTGCAGTGTTCTATTTCTGCATTGTTTTGTTAAGAGGGCTGGCACTTTGGAGAAGATGGGCTGTGAATACAATTGTATCTGAAAGCGCATTGTCACACTTTCTCCAGGCACTGACGCATTATGTACTCTAATGCGCCTGCTCTTCTTCTGTGTGCATCATATCCCTCTGCTTCAACCTCAAATTGTCAAACCGGCAATTCATCTCCCTCCAGAATAGCTATATTTTTAGCAAAGGCTACCAACAATATCCCAAATTTAAACACGCTGATGAATTCCCATTGGTCACATTGGCTAAATATACTGAGTTGCAGGAGAAAAGAGAGTTTCAGCTGAAACAGAACAACATTTCCATGAATAATAAGCACTTGTTCTCTCAAAAGGAAAAAAAACAAACGGGATCAGAAACAGGAGGAATTCTAACTACTAATTGCTGTTATTATCTCCTATGTATATACATATCTGCAGCATTTCACGGTGATTATGAAAACGCTTGCAATTGTTCCTTTTGACTCATTCAAAGATCAGATGGTTTCTTCAAATCAATGTTAATAAAGAACTTTATGGAACAAAGAATGTAACAAGCTCAAGAAAAATTATCTAAAAGCGGGTGAGGGGAAAAAGGTATGCCAAATATAGCTGTCAGAAGCTGTGGGGCTGGAGTAAGAACTGCTGAATTTTTGCTTATGGAAGTTTTAATGGGGTTGAAAACTTACATAATAACACCAGTTCATGCACCTGTTTTCCATTTTTTTCTGTTGCCTCCCCACTTTCATTTACAATATACACACAATGTGTGCGTGTGTCTATCTCATGTCTTGATGAGGCAATTCCAGCCAACCAGGGATCACATGGATAATGTAAGAATATTACAAAATCATGCTGCTAATTCAATTTTCAAAACCAGAATAAGGGTCCTCAAACAAAAACCCATTTCCCCCTCCACAGTGCAGCATAGCTAACCGGAATTGGCTAGGTGATGTCACAAAGCCAAATCAGAGTGAGTGCAATGCCTCCTCTCTTCACCCTAAAGAGGTATTCTCATCTCCATTTTGCAACCTTTCCAAATGAAAAATTACCAAAGCAGATGAGAAAGAAGGGGACATTTCCCCTAAGCCCTAGGCAGAACCAGGAACTGTTGGATCGCTGATAAGCTGTCCCTCAGAGGGAGTCACTTTGAGCTGCAGATGTGAGAGCTACCAGGATGACAAAGTCTCCAGAGTGGCTCCAGTCACCCTAACAGCCCACTAGTCTCTCCCCACCCAATCACGAAAAGTACCTGGCTCAGCACTGGCCTTTTCTTGCTAGGGAGCTACTTCCCCTAGTTCTTGTTCCTTCACCTGTTGGATGCCCTCCTCAAACCCCCCAAGTCCTAGGAACTCAGGCTTCATGCTCCACCAACCCAGTAACAGCAAGGTACAATCCAGCAGAAGTTAAGAACAAATTTTATACAACTGAGGGAAGTGATAACGCTTTCCCCAGACTTAATACGTGCAGTAGGGGCTACGTATTTTAAAAGAAAGTACTGCCTGCATAAACACTCCCACGTCTTTGATGGCGTAGAATGCTGTGTATATTTGGGCTATGAACAGACCCTCCCTGCTGCCACCTCAACTTTGTTGAAAATAAAGGAGCCTAATCTTCTAGAAACATAGGAAGCTATCTTATACTGAGTCAGACCACTTGGTCCATCCAACTCAGTACTGCCTACAGCGACTGGCAGCAGCTGCCCATGGTTTCAGCACTACCTGAAGATGCCAGGGATTGAAGAGCGACAGCCCCTTCTGTGCCCCCTTTTCTGCAGAGCTGGAACATGGTTTGAGGCAAATGTAAATACCTCATTCTTTTTTGAGTGGTTCAGCAGTCAGCCTCACAGATAAGGCCGAAAAGAGCCCACTCCATGTCATTATTTATGCAAATAATTAATTACGCCTGTTTCCGTCAAGCGGTTTGTCACGACACATTAATGACTTGATAGACTCCCATGAACTAGAGAACACTGGGGGGAAAAACAGCCCTGCGCGCCTTCGTCGTCATTTAATTTAAAAATGATCCTGTGTGAAATTATCTCGTCATGAGTGATGGAAGCATAAAGATCAGACTCAGCAAAGCTGCTTTTGGATCATTGCTTTATTAATGGGGACATAAGGGAAGTGAAAAATGCTGGCATTGTCAGACTTAGGCTCTCCTGAAGAAGCATGTTGGACATTTGGTATGCTGCAGGATGGACCAGCACAGCACGGGACGATGGAAAAGCCAAGGGAAGCCAGAGACCCAACGCATCGAGTGGGCATTCTGCTTTTCTTGTCTACACCTTAATATCTACTTTGTGGTACTGTTGCTGCAATTATCATAGCTACTGTTCAGCACTGTGGTTGCTTTTGGAGTCGGCCTAAAACCACAAATTAGCACATAATGCTGCTGTCAGACAATTCAGCACCTGAGGCCCAGAACATACAACTCCAATCAACCCTTCTCAACTTGAGGGCCACATTCCCTTGTGGCAACATTCCAATGCTGAGCCACTCCAGAGGCAAAAGTGGGCACAGCAAAGAATGTAAATTTTACTTTTGTACAGTAGGGGAGCTTTTCTCTACCCTCCATCTAGGTAAGCAAGAGGCAATATCAGACTTCACCAGCACATTCCAGCTATGTGGTGTGGAGGGCCAGTGAAGAGTGCAGCCTGTGGAGAGTTCTAAGGTCCAGAGGGCCACATATGGCCCCTGTCTGAGGCTACCCAGTCCAGGCTTATTTGTTTTTGGGCTTGACTTAAAATACTGAAAAGAGTCATTCAAAGCCCTAAGTGGCTTCCTTTGAGATAAGCCTCAGAGGCCCTGTTTTGTGGTCCATCCATAACATGAGAATCAGGCAGACTTGATGGAGGCTGAGTTCCCCTGCCTTGTTTTTTGCTTCATTGCAAAGCTTTATTACTTAAGTTACAGAGACACCATGTCTCTCAGTACCTACTGCTGAGGAGCATAAACATGGAGAAGCTTTTTACCTTCAGGACTTGTCTGAGGGCTTCCAGAGACACATGATTAGCTACCGTTAGAAGCAGGAAGCCGAACCCTTCGTATGATCTAGCAGTGAGCTTCTTACATCCTTCTAACTCCTTCTAATAGAAAACTCAGTTGCTGAGTGCAAAGGATTGCAAACAGAATGAAACCACTTAGGCTATGGACACACCATACATTTAAAGCATCCAGCCCCTCAAGAAACCTGGGAACTGTCCCTTATTAAACATGGAGTTTGGGATTTGTAGATGCGTACAGGCAAACTACTGTTCTCAGGATTCTTAGGGTCTATGTGCTTTAAATTAATAGTGTTTATGAAACCTCAGAAACAAGGAGGTATCAGAATGATCAGGGGAACTCCACGTTTGATAGAAGTACAAAAAAAGAGAAACATTTAAGGATCCATCCCATACCCACAAACCCCTTAACGATGCAACTGCTTTTACATGTTTTTAATTGAAATTGATTTTCCTTTGCTTTTAAATTGTGAATATGTTTGCCTCTCTGGGCTCCTTATGAAAGAAGGGTGGGATATGAAACAAACAAACAAACAAACAAACAAACAAACAAACAAACAATAGTAATAATAGTTAGTCTGCTGTTCTATTATGCTGCATTTTATTTTTACGGCAAGCAGCTTTGAGAATTATTTTTAAATAAAAGCAGGGTGCAAATAATAAACTATACAAAAGGAGAACGGAACACTGGCTATGGGGTGGCAAAAGTGAATGAAACAGGTGAACTCTCCAACCCAACAGAACACTGTGAGAAGACAAACAGGCTGCTTTTGCATGGCAAAGACATACTGCTGTTTATTTTGCGGGTTGGGCCTGCCATCTGTTGTCGTACATTCAGCAGAGGCTGCCTTGCCATCCAGCTTCCAAGAGGATTAGCCCAAACCAGCTGGGTTCCAGGAGCCCCACACATCCAGACAGCTATTCTTCAAAGCATCCAGGATGGGATCCTTCCAAAGGATGGGTGGGGGAATTTGCCTGTGTTCATTCAGAAATCTATTCCATCCCATTTCCGCATCTATCTGTAATCTTTTGCTTGTTTTTAAATTTGCAGAAAAGTATGGGCTGTATCCAGCTAGATTCTACACATAAAAGACATAATGAAATTAACAGATCTAAGCTAGTCATGTCCATTATTCTCAATGGGTCTACTCTGAGTAGGAGTAGCACTGGCTAAAACACTTCAGCACAGGGTGGGGTGGGGATTCACCTAATGATCCTCATCAGCTGAAGCACTCCTGTGTAATGGAGCTTTCCCTCTTCTCCCCCCGCCGTGTCCCCTGATTATTGTTTAAAAGCCATCAATGAAAATTCATCAGTGTTTTAGTGCACCCCTATGTATATTAGTAATTTTACCTCATATTCACGTTTTTGCAAAGCGATTTCCATTAATATAATTTTTT